GAGACCGGCTTTGCATAGATATATATTTGTTGTCAAAATATGATGGAGAATTCTTACTTGGAGCCACTGGAGTTTTGTATTAGTAGTTGTGCGAAATGGAATTTGATATATTTTCTCCCATTTGTTGTCCCTAATGTCAAATATTTCTACCCATTTCTTCCTACCAGTTGGAATTATCTTATTTTCAGAAAGTATTATATAAAAGTCATTAGCTCCTTTGGTGTTTTTGTAAAAAAAATCCAAATTAAGGGGAATCATTGGATACACTAAGCCTACAGTGGTATTATGCCCAATATTGTTTTGATTAATATATCTTCTAAGAGCTGACAGGATACCATAATACTGCAGAAAGTTTGTGTTTAAATTGTATTTGTTATTAAATTCATCATGTGTATAAAATGTATGTGTGGGGGAATTTTTTATCAAATCATTAAAAATAGTAATTCCACATCTATACCATTCAGGATAAAATATACACTACGAGTAGGTTGTCATTAATCAATGTAAAAAATAAATAGATAAATAAAAGGAATTACGTTACGCTTCTTATACATCAATCCAGCGACGTATATATTACATATTACGTAATATATACGTCTTTGATCATCCGAAAGCAAAATACTAAATGACATGAAAACTTGATTCGACTCCCAGAGATACTGTATACACATATATACTTTTAATAACCCTGAGTTTGTGACACTAATTAGGAAATAACAGAAATCTGTTATCTGGAGTACGACTCCATTCTGGACTCGGGCTAATATCTCGGCTCTGTGCCCCCGGGCACTTAACAATCCAAGTTCCTGAAGGTACACTAATGAGGTGTATACTGGTACCGAATCTAAATCACAGTTACAGGTAAATATATATATTATAATTTAATTTTATAATGTCTTCCGAGGAACTACAAATTCCACTTGCAAACTACTTATATAATATGTACAGAAGACGTAGCTGTCTATGTGATTAGTTATAATTTTAAACAGTGTCTTTTAAGCCATTTTAGGCTGAATATCATATACAATTACATTTTCTATTTTATGCGTTTGTTAAATATGATACCAGGTGTCAATCAGAAACATTTTTTATGAAAATAATCTTCCGTTTAAATTATAATTAGCTACTAGTTAGTGTGAATTTAGCAGACCTCGCTGGTAGGGGGCTCCGGGATCCCCAACCCTTGGAAACCTAAATTTCACTACAATGTAGAACTAGGAAATTATTCATTTTATTTATCACCATTGTTATTGGTTTTTTTAAGGCAGTAAATGTAAAAGAAACCTTTTAACTATTATAGTATTTAATATGTAAGGACAAAACCCAGGAGTTTGTTAGGTAGCTATAGGGGCTGTAACAATCACCTGCTCTCTGGATTGGCACATGTGATAGTTTGTTTTAATTAATTAATTTATTATGTATAATAGCTGTTCTTAACAAAATTATGATATGGTCTTTATATTTTTACATTAAGATGACTGATCCCTGTTATGTAACTATATGTTTTTATACCGTGGAACTATATACTTTTACGATGTAATTGTGATATATGACACTATAATAAACAAAATTGACTTGACTATATATATATATATATATATATGCTGGGATGAAGGGCTACCATATTTGTTCAAAAGAATAACCTCAAGAACGTAAATTTAAATTTAAAGCAAGTTCTTCTCAATATCAAAAATACCCAGGATGCTGATATTTAGCCAGTTGTCTACAGGGATGAGGGGGTTCCATGGATTCATTGCTAAACATTGATGATTCCATTAAACCATTAAATCCAATAAAATACAGATGTATACAGAATAGTAAAGGTAAGAGTCATATTTTATTATTATTATTATGAGAAGTTCTTTTTACTCAACCAATGAAATTTTCTATGTGACGTTTCAATGACTAGTACGATATGTACACTGTCACCTTTATCAGACAAATGACCAATGAAGCGTATATGCACACGAAGGTGTAAAATGTGTACGAGTTGTCCATAAAATCGATGTCGATTTCGGCTATTTCATAATCCATACATACCAACCTGAAGAAAATCTTTAGGAAAAAAAGTAAGAGTCATATATTAACAAAAATGGAATATAAATAGGAAAAGAAAGAAAATTGTCACCATAAAGCATTTATTGATGTGGACTTCAATTTTGAATTAGATTATGATTTACACTAGTAAATTTCTGCTTTTAAGACACTAGGAGAAACTAAATTTTACATTTTTTTAGCATTGTTACAGGATCCTTAATTTGTGATGTGCATATATGCTAAATTTGTGGGATATATTATATTTGATATTTCACAATGCCAGTCTGCAACATTGATCACTGTGGTTGAAAACAAGTTCTTTTCTATACCTATTAATACCGATTTTAAAGTATGTTGCCAACTTTTAGCTGGATCTATAAGCTTACATTATATTGTTTGCTTAGAAAATGGCTATTTTAAATGTTTATTTTAAGCTACCAAAATTGACTTGCATACAGACATTATTTGTGACGTAGGACACAGTCTCATACATTGTACTAAATAACACAGCCAACTTGTATCTGGACGTTTTTTGTCACTCAGACTCAGGGCATCTCACTTGCCTGAGGTGTGAAAATGTCGGGTGCTACTCCCAGAGAAGCTACTGACCAAAACAAATACAGTTAATTTGTTAGGTCCAGTTGTGTTTTTGACACATGCATGCCATATTATCATTCAAGTTCACAAAGCAGAGACCAACAGTGATACCATTATGACCAGACTGGCAGATCTGCATTTATCAGCAAAGAATGACTGATGAGAAAAGTAAGACTAGTGTAGTAGGAACAGAAAAACAACGACCAGACCGGGTTTCGAACCCGGGACCCTCTGAACTCTAGACAGATGCTCTACCAATTGTGCTACCTGGTTGCCGATGATCGACTCA